CCGCAAATGAATGCAATGATATTGTCAACCAAACCAATGTTGAATCCCAAAAGTTATCAAGCAAAACTAGGAATTGGTTGATTATTTTAATTGCCTTAAGTCTGAACTCGTACTGGGCTTTGGAAACGTGTTATTTCAGCAACAGTTCCACATATTATCAATACCTACCGATCCGTATGTCCGCCCAAAAAGCCGATGATATACTGACTCTAACATCAGCTGTATATACAATCGGACGGCTAGTCTCTGCATATATTTCCAGTAAACTGAGGCCAGAAATTATGTTAACCTATCATTTGATAATTATTAGTATATCCTTAATTGTCCTGCAATTTGGACAGACATCTGAAATTGTTATATGGGTTATGAATGGAGTGATAGGTAAATATATCATAACTATATTAAATATTGACATTTACTATTTTATATGATCAGGGTTTGGATTCAGTGCCATGTGGTCATCCTATTGGATATTAGGCGAAAAATACATAATTCTTAACAACAGGATTACCTCAATATTCTCGTTCACATCAGCCCTGTTCTCATTGGTCACCCCTTTTATAATCGGACCCTATATTGAGGAATATCCGCAAATATTTTTGGACATGGAGTTTGCTTATTTAACAATCACTATCATTTTGTTCAGTATTTTGTTAACAATTATTAGAAAATCTAATGAATATTCTATTAAATAAAAACTTAATGATAAAAAAATTAAAAATAAATTTTATAACATTTGTTTTAAGATTTAGAATAATCTATCATAGTTATATTAAGAATTTTAGTAAGTTAATAAGCAAATATTAGTTCATTTTTAGGAATTTAAATATAGGTTTATTGAGCTAACATATTGCAGTATTATGGGTATACACGTCGATCGGCCTATTCTGTGTATACTGAGAAATTCAATGGTATACTCTCTATTGTACTGTACACTGCTATCTTTCTCGTTACATACTGTTAGGTCAGTATTGGCTAACTGTTAATCCCTATGGAATGTCATTACCTGCCCTCCCTTTCCCAAAGTTGTGCTAATATAAAAGCGTAGACTCACCGCACAACCCTATATTTGATGTATTTAACAGTATATGTATTATAATAAATACTTTTACTCTAAACTTGTGTTTTAATACCTCTTTGCCTACCTCTGAAACCCCCTTTAAATCCACAACACGGGTGCCGTTGGCCGGAGTGGTGGCCACGAGAGCGGGTGTTAGCCTTACGGAAAGGCTATTTGGCGTCAGGTATTTGTTTTACAGGTAATGCCCGCTACACGCGCTTAACCAAAGCCGGACCGACACACCTGGCCTTTTAAGGATACCATGTTGTAATATTGTAAATTGAATTGAATTTATTGTTATTTAGACAAGCTGATTTCCAATACAGACGTGTTATAAATAAATAATATATTAGATGAAAAATAATGAAAATTTTCAAAGTTTTTTGATCAAAGTATTCAATGTTTTAGAAATCTTAATATTACATCAAGTTCATCAAATACATTTTAGCGTCATAATAACTCAAGCAAATGTTGCTTTAACAAAAATATTCCACAACATTTTTATTATCTCTTTTGCCTAATAAATCAAATTATTTTTATATCCTTTTTCTAATACAATATAATATTTAAATGTTGCGAAAACAAAAACTTATAAAGTGGATTTTTCCATTGATAAATATTACCCTGATAAAGATGAGTAGATGATTACGGTACTTGAGTGTATTTTAGAAAGGTACCAGGACATTAAACAATATAAATTGGAAATGAAGGTATTTTTAAATACAATAATAATTATTTTATTTGTTTCATAATAATACAGTTATTTATACTAATCTGAATTATGAGTATAAAATTACCTGGCTACTCCTGACTTACATTATTAATAGATTAGTGTGAGACTAGAAGGACTGGTGTTTTGATTATACAAAATAATACACTATAAAAACACTTTCAATACTGAACTCAATATTGAAACCCAAATCTACACTAAAGTGTAGCAATAAAAGTCAAAATGTTGACAAATATCGCATTTACTATACTATTAGCTATAGTGGGCTGTAATGGCAGCCCTAATAGCGACCCCCACTTCGTGGACGACCGGTCCGTAATCGTGCAGATGTTGGAGTGGAAGTTCTCAGAGGTGGCCAAAGAATGTGAGCAATTTCTGGGCCCCTATGGCTACGGGGGTGTCCAGGTATCGCCGGTGCACGAGTGTGCCGTACTGGTGAACCGACCCTGGTGGGAACGGTACCAACCGGTCAGCTATAAGATCGATGGCAGGAGTGGTAATGAACAGCAGTTCGCAGATATGGTCAGCAGATGTAATAAAGTCGGGGTCAGAATATTCGTGGACATTGTGCTCAACCACATGACTATGGCTGAGGCCGGTATGTATGGACTTATTTGTAACTTTTCAAATATAATACAATATTTGTAAATTAGTAAATGTCAGATAATTATGATATTTATTTTACTAATTGTTAATAATATAGTTACTAGGAATTACTCAATCAAATATTTATAAGTACAAACTAGTAACTAGTAGCTATAATCTAATTTTGATGCTAGCTATTTATTTGTATTACTGGAATTACTATTGAACTAAATTTTGCATAATTATAAAAATAATAAATAATTTTGAAAACAATACTTTCAGGTAAGGGAACGGCTGGTGACACATACGACGGCGGAAACTTCAAGTACGACGCCGTGCCCTACACTTCCCAAGACTTTCACGGTCACGAGTCATGTCCCCAGGGAGACCTCAATATACACGACTCGGACAACCCCACCGAGGCTCGCATGTGTCAGTTGGGAGGGCTCCGGGACCTCAATCAGGCCAAAGACAATGTGCGCCAAAAACAGTCGGAGTTTCTCAATAAACTCATTGACATCGGAGTCGCGGGTTTCCGATCGGATGCCTCTCAACACCAGTGGCCACAAGACCTGAAAAGCATTATCTCAGGACTGCATACACTCAACACCACATACTTCCCGGCTAACAGTCGACCCCTTTTCTATCACGAGTACATAGAGCACGGACCTAATGTTAAAGCCTCGGAGTATACGCCATTGGGTCGAGTGATCGAGTTTAAAAACTACGAAAACTTAGCAAGGGTGTTCAGAGGTCTCAATAATCAAAGGGTGTGTTACCTACGAAACTATGGCGGAGGGCCTAAGGGCTGGGGTATGTTAGCCACTGAGGACGCTGTGGTGATGATCGACAACCACGACCTCCAGAGAGGACACGCCGGTGACATCAACGTGACCGTCACCTTCTTTGAACCCAAACTACTCAAAATGACCACCGCTTTCATGTTAGCCTGGCCATACGGCATACCTCGTATTATGAGCAGCTATAATTGGCCTAGGAAACT